CCACGACCCTGGAGGACAGAGCAGCCAGGCTCCCAGCACACAGTGCTGCTTCAAAGAGAGTAGGGCTGCTGCCCAAAGCTGGAAGGACAACAGTTTGGTGCACACTCAGCTCCAGTCCCCTCCCCTAAGGTGCTACTAACACCCTCTTCCCCCCCTTAGGGACTGGCTCCTTGCTGTGCTGCCTGTGCTGTGAAGGCACGTGCAGTGCAGGCACCTTGGCAACCAAGACTTTGAGCAGCAAGCCACGACTTGGCTGCCACAAGCGCTCTACCACCTCCAAGAGCCACCCTGAGCACCAAGGAGATGAAGCCAGTGAAGCTCCCACGGCCCACAGGAAATCCTCCTTCCCCCAGCAGCTGTTACCTGGAGGGAGACAGTTCAAGAGTGGCAGCACACTCTGCCTCTCCCCGAGCAGGCAGGGCAGCGAGCCCTCTGCCCTCTCACATTCCCACGGCTCCAGCTGCTCAGAGCTCAGCCAGGTCCCACCACACTCCCCACATGTGTGGGCTCACAGCCTGCACCACCAGCCTGGGGTGTGCACACAAGGAAAACCCTCCCTGGCAGGACGGGTCCAGCCCGTCTCATCCATCTTCCTCTCCAACCGGTCCCTCTGGGCAACGCTACAGCAGATTCAGTTTTGCACATCCGTCCCAAGTCTCCCACCTGAAGAATCCCTGCAGGGTCAGTGACCTTTGAGGAGACCACACAGTCTGTGGGCAGACATCTGCATGTCTTCTCCAAAGGCAGGGTACAGCAGCCTCCCTGCAAGCACAGAGGCAATGGGAGCTGGCAGAGGTCCTGCATCCCAGTGTCACACATTAGGAAGAAAGGAACAAACACCCAGGATAGTCAGGGCAGTACAATAATGCTGGTCAAATGCAAGGGGTCTGTAACCAAAGAGCCCAGGGTGCCCTCCTGGATGAGCTGCATCACCCTCACGTGGACACGCCCCCGTTCCCACCTGCAACAAGCCATTTCCACACGTTCCTCCACGCCTTTCACCACCAAGACCAGGCACGGGGCTTGTCAGCGTGTGTATGTATCTACTGATACAAACCCAGCCTTCCTGGGCAATCAATAATGCTATTTAAGAGATAAGTCTTGCTATTGACTGGCTGCTGAGCCCAGCTCCTGATTAATTTTAAAGAGAGGGAGAGAGAGAGGGAGGGAGCTCAGAAGTGTTCCCAACGTCACCAGGCATCAGTGTGTGTGCTCAGGCTGTGCAGGCAGGGATGGATTGGGGCAGGGACAGACTGGGGGTGCTGTCTCTGGGTTACAACAGGATGGGGCTATGCAGGGACCTGTTTTCTGCAGCTCCACCACCAAACACCTCCATGATCTGAGAAAGGAGTCGTGGATCTCTCTACTACCAGCAGGAACCACGAGGTACATCGAGGCAGAAACACACTGATTTTTACACAGTGGAGGATCTGTGCACCCTTGGGGAAGAAAAGGCCCATCTGTGAATGCATTTGAGCACTCACTGTGCCATGCACAAATTAAAACTGGGCATTGTGTTCCCTGAGCCCAGCCGTGGCTGTGCCGGATTTGAGGCTGCACCCAGCCATGGTGTTTTGACCATCACTTCGAGTGGCTCGAACGAGATTTTTGGCTACCAAGCCCACAAAGGCAGCTCCTGCCCATCATGTCTCTGTCCTGGCTGCATAAGTCTCTGCTCTGGTGCATGTAGGGCCTCCCCTCCTTTTTCAGGGAAGGACAACTCCCACCAGAGCAGGTCAGAGCAGGGGATGAGCAGAGCTCACCCCACCTTACAGGGGAAGGCTGTGGAGCTGCCATCCCTCCTATGGAGGACAGCAATCCCCTACAAGCATTTGAGAGAGAATGACAGAAGGCAGGGCACTGCTGAACCCAAAGGACAGTTCTGCCACACCAACTACCCAGAGATAATATTCGTCCAGATCTGAGATTTCCAGCCCTCCAAGAAGGAAGGATCTGAACACACCTCCAGCACGAGCCACAGAAGAAGAAAGACTGTCTTAGGTAAGCTGGATCGAGTGTTAAAAAATGTGTGCTTCAACAACCCAGAGGCATCTTCCAGCCCACAGCAGCCAAGGCCGCCACTGTGATGAGCTGCACGACTTGAAGGTGCCTTATTTCCTTCCACATTCCCAAGGGTTTCTCCCTGGTTGATGTGGATTCATGTCTCCATTCCCTAATTTCCAAGCTGGAGCAATGCAACTGCACCGGTGCTGTGGGTATGAACCAGGAGAGAAATTTGCTGATTTCAGCGGGAGGGAGGAAGGACCAATGCTAAGGCAGAGCTGAGGACTCCTGGCTTTGTCCGTCGGTGTCAGGGTGCAGCCACCAAACAAACCATAAAAGCATCTTCCTGGTGTCACGGGGCTGCAACTGGAGGTAAAATTCCAGCTCTGTAGGTCCACAGGCAGATCCCAGAGCCCTGCTTACCCCCAGCATGCAGGTCAGCTCCCAAGAGCTCAGGTGGGGAAGCAAGACACGAAGGCAGCTGGTGCAGGACAGCATCGTCTCACCCGACTGCTTCCCGCTTGGGGCCTTCTCCTGTGCTACACAGATCTTTATGTTTTACTCTTTCAGTTCAAAGCTCAGACTGGCTTACTCCGAGACAGAAATGAGCTCCAGAGCTTGTTACAAGCTCACTGTTGTTCACTGCAGGCATGTGGCTGCCCTCCTGCCTTGGGAAGCTTGAGGCCAACAGGTCCCTGTCCACCCTAACACATCAGGGCACCTCTTTCATTCCTCAGCCTTATCTCCAGCACCCCACTCCTTGGCTTACAGAGAGGGACCGAGCCTGAGCCCATTTTAGTTGCATCCATACTGTGCTCCCCACACCTGGCACGGCACAAACAGGATGTGCTTTTCCATCTGCTCCGTGAGCCCATCCTGAACAAGCGATCTCAATTACCCCGAGCTGGGAAGGACTCATGGGCAGCCGAGTGAGCTGCTGGCAGCCAGCAGCACTGGCCCTTGGGACAGGACAGGGGACACCAGGACAGCCACAACAGCTGGGGCTCCTGCAGGGACAGCCCCTGGTGCCAGCAGTGCTGGAAGAGGCAGATGTGCTCCAACTGTGGGGTGCTGGGGTGCTGGTGGCTCAGTGCTCCCATGCTGGAGCACCCAGCCTCCAGCACCCTGTGCCCCTTCCAGTGTGCATCCTACAGCAACTGCCTGCAACAGTGCTGAGGTTGGGGTTTCCAAGCGGTGCTGCAGCACAGTGGTGGCTGTTGCCATGCCAATCAAGCGGGCAGTTGCCACACTGAACTGCCAAATGAGGAGAGCAGCCACTCTGGTGTCCCAGGGGGCTGATTTCCCCCACAGGCAGCAGCATGGCAGAGCCTGAGGAGATCAGCTGCTCTCAGCACCCAGCACTCCTTGGTGGACACAGCCCCAGAGCACCTGGAGCCCACTCCCAAAGCCCCACAGCCCCGCACTGGCACACCCCAGCTCTGGCCAGCAGCTGTTCCAGCAGCCACCACTGCCCTGGTGGCAGGAGCAGCCAGCATGGCAGCAAATGCAAGAGAAATGTCAGCATCATGGAGGGCTGAGCACGGGAGGAGGTCCTCAGCCAGCAGCTGGAGAGCAGGAGGCTGCAGGCTCAGCCACATGCCAGCTCTCAAAGCACAGGGACAGGGCACTGTCTGGGCAGGCAGTGACCAGAGGGGACATCAAAGTGAAAAAAAAACAAAAAAAAAACAACAACAAAAAAAGGATGTTGTTTTGTCTCAGGTGCGGTGTGAACTCCTCACTGCAGGACAACATGGATGCCAGCAGCTCGCTCAGGGCCGTGGATGACTGTGGAGAGCTTCTAAACAGAGGGGAGCACCCTGCCCAGGTCTCTGCCCAGAGCAGAGGTCCTACCCTGCCCTCAGCACCTGCCTCCACACAGACACAGGCCACAGGCTCAGCTCCCTTGGGCCTGACACAGAACCATTCTTGCCCTCGAGGCAGTCTCGTGCCAGGCGAGGTTCTCACACACAAGAACACACATCCCAGCCTGCCCTGGTGCAAACCAGGCTTTCTCTCCTCCACCCTTCCCTTGTAAACGTGGGGAAACTGAGGCACCTGAAGATAGAAAGTGGCACGCAGGTTGTCAGCGATGGAAGAGAGAGGTGAGAATGTTTTCAAATTGCTCTTCCCCAAAAGCAAGCCACGTCTCTCTACCAGTCCTGCTGCTGACAAGAAGGAAAACTCATCCCATCCAAATTGCTGTAGAATAGGGAAACGAGGGAAAAAACCCAAACAAGCCTCAAGCCAGGAGCCAAGAACATTTGTCTCTCTTCTTTCAGCTCAATCAGACACAATTCATGATGGCAACTGCCATGATACCCAGACTAATACCAAGAATGTTGCCACTCGGGAGCATGCCAAGGTGACCTGGAGGGGAAGTGGCAGAGCTCTCTGCCCTGAGCCCCACTTTCTGTGCTCAGCCTTGTCCTGCCCGGGGGCTCCGGGACGGGGAGAGCCACCCCGGGTGTGCACGGTGCTCGGCTGCACTGATCCGATCCAGACACGCGAGCCCCTCACTGAGATCCCTCCTCCCGAGCATCATGTCGCGAACCTCCCGCACATACACCGTCCCAGCGCTACCGGGGCTGCGACAGAGAGATGGGGCGGCCAAGAAGGGGGCACCCCATCACCATCCTGGCACCAGCAGAAGGCCACACACGCGTCTCCCGCAGACCCTGCGCTCCGGGCTCCCAGCGGAGGACGAGGCAGAGCCCCGCTCCGGCTCCTCCACGCTAGCGATGGATTCGGGGGACCCCGCGCCCGGGGAGCCGGGCATCCCTCCCGACGCGCCGCGGGAGACGCGGAGCGGCCGGGACTGGGGTGGCGAGGAGGCGGCGGGCAGGGGGCGGCCGGTGCAGTCACCTCGCTCCCGCCGGAGCATCCCGGGGCAGCCGCCGAACTCCCGCGGACGGGGATGCGCGCGGGACCGACGGGTCCTCCCGCCCCGATCCCGCGGCATCCCGGCGGGCTCCCCGCGCCCCGTGGGGAGGGCTCACCTGGGTTCCGCCGCCGCCGCCGCTCCCTCAGGAAGCCCCGCGGCTCAGGCGGGCGGCGCGGCGGGCGGGCAGGGCAGGGCACCCGCAGCCCCCCGCCGCCGCCGCCCCCATGGCCCGGCCGCCGCCCTCAGCGCTCGGACGGGCCCCGCCGCCGCCGCTGCTGCTGCTGCCGCCGCCCCGCAGCGCCCGCCCCCGCCATGCCGGCCCGGCCCGGCCCGCAGCTCCCGGCCCCGCGGCGGCGGCGGCGAGCGCGGTGCGCGGCTCTGCGGGGCGAGGGCGGGCGGCGGCTCTGCGGGGCGGGGCGGGACGCGGGGCGGGCGGAGGAGGGCGGACACCCCCCCCCCCCATCTCCAACCCCCAGTCCGGGGGCTGCGGAGCCCGCCCGCCTCCGATCGGGGCAGGCGGGCATCGCCCCCCGCGTCCCTGCCGGGCGCGCACGGACGGGCGCCCTCGGTGGGTACCGGAGGGCCGGGACTCCGCCAGCGGCCACCGGAGGAGCCCCTCGCCCACCTCCTCAGGCCCCCCGCGGCGTGCTCTCTGTCCGCAGCCGAAGCATCCCTCCGGTCCCTCCTGCCAGGTGTCCCCGCACGGCTGGAGCCGGCCCGGGCGGGCTGCGGGCAGAGCGGAGGGCGAGCACCGCAAAGCCCCGCACCTCCCGCACCCCTTCCCGGCTCGGTGCCGAGCCAGCCTGCCCAGGCGCCCGCCTGCCGTTCCCCGAGCAGCCGCCCGTTTCGGGCCGCCGCTGTCCTGCCCTGCGAGCCCCTCTCTGCCTGTGGCACTTCTCCTTCAGTGCCGTTTGCCATCTTGTCATCCACTGGCTCAACACCGTGAGACCCTTCTGCAGTGTTTCGTTGGCTTTTTTTTTTTGTTAATTACCTTTAGGCATTACGTACGATGTGCAAACATTGACACCTTATTCTTCATCCCCTTTTCCAAATGCACGGGATCGTCTGCTCGCTGGTCCATAGGTAACTCCATGGTAACCACCCTGCCAATCTTGGCAGGGGGAAATCAACAAAACCTCTTAAGGAAACTACATTATCAATGCATAAAAAGAGGCTTGTGTGTGCTTCATTTGAAAAGACTGAGAAGCAAGGGCTGGGAGGTAGGTTACCATGGATTTGGGGAATTCGAGTACCCTATTAGCTGGCTAATGTCCTCAAGAAAGAATAATAGATTTACAAGCTGTGAATTCCTCCTTTGAAAATCCGACTGACTTCCATTATATTGCTTTCCACGTCTTCCCATTCTACTCTTTATCAGGACTCCAAGCAACTCATTTGGTCTATACAGAAGTTGAACTTGGATATAGCTTTCTGGCTCTAAGCTTTTACAAAAATTGCAGTCACACTTGCTGCCTCCCATCTATATGATCCCAGTGTTCATTCCAGGGTACCCAGCCCCTCTGGTAGCTCAGTAACTCAATGCTGCTCCTCCTCCAGAGCCCTCCATAGGGAAATCCTGCCTGATCCTGGCAATCCCTTGCTCTCCATCTCATCAGTGTCTTCCAAAAGCATTTTCTGACATTTCTGTTCCAGAGAGTTCTTTAGATTTATCTGCCACAGGAAAGGGCATGGTATGTGAATTTTCCAACATTGTCCACGGCAGGTCCTGATGTAAAGAGATTTATTTTATGCAACGCTCTTAGACCTTTTTTTGCAGCCACAGAAGCCCAATAGTCCAGCACAGCACTGGCTGTCTTCCCTCTAATGGCCTTGGCATTGTCTTCCTGACACGTCCTTATGCTTTAGGCATGTCACACCTTAAAATTTGTCTCATCCCAAATTTATATCCTCTCCTGTTTTCCCTGTTTGACGCAACATGCACCTGCTGAAGCTTGTCTGTTGACATCTGTCTCCTTTACATGTCTATTTTAAACCCGTTGGCATTTTTTTTTGCCCTTTATATATACCCTTTATATGAACTTTTAAAAAGTATTTCCAGAACGAAGATTGAGAAGATATAACAAATCTCAAAAGGTTTTCTAGATTTTAAGATCAGAATTTATTCCACACACAAACACAAAATAAAAATGCCCCTCTCTCAGCCTGCCTGTTCATGAAAATATCCCCCACGAAACATAAGCTGTTCCTTGAGGAGTTGGAGAGTTTGTTTGTTTGTTTGCACCCGACTGCTTATATACACTTGTCAGTTTTCCTTCCTTTCCCTTTGGAGCCTCCTTGAAAGCAGGAGGGAAGTGCCTCGGAGCAGCAGCATCATCTGTGAGAGTTTTACTCTCTAAGCTGCGTTTCTGGCCAAGTTTCCTTATTTTTTGCATAACTTATTTCCCAGGAGGCTGTTCCGGAGTTGGTGTTGGGTGAGAGTTGGGAAGCAGTGGAAAACTGTAACATGTGCAACTTACTCCCTGTGCTGCTCACTCTCCAGGAGGGAAACACAGGGTTGTTTCTCTTCCTTGGGTACCTGAATAGTTGCTCCAGGGCTATTTTTTGCCCTCTTCAAATGTTTTAAGACTCACTCCCTGGTACAATTAATTCAGAGATGGTCCTCTGGCATCTCCTGATCTACAATGTGCTGACCACACACCACCTTCCCGTGGATGCTGTGGGCTTGCCGTGCCCCGAGCTGCACGTCCCCAGCTCCATGCTGCAGGATGGGACAGACTGCTGGGTTTGCACTGCAACACTCTCCCACCCTGCTGCTTGGTGCTGGATTAGCCTCTCCTGAAGTAGCTGCTTTACAGCCCTTCCTGCCCCAGGACTCTTGCTGTCCCTGATGACAAGATGAGAGTTTCACAGCTGAGTGCAACTGCTGAGGCTTCTGATAGTCAGAAAGAAGAGCAGAATGGAGGTGAGACCAAGATAACAAACCTACACCACAGAGCTCATGGAAAGCAAGGAGCAAACTTCCAAGGGGCTCTTGTTCTCCAGGGAAATGCATAGCAGGCAGGCTACCCCAGTGCTGGAGCAAAGGAAGATGCCAGAGGTGTCATGGGGCCAATATACAAAGCCACTAATCAAACCAGTGATGCTGCTGGTAGCAGTTGCAGCTGCAAGAACCCCTGCTGTAGTACAACCCTGAGTGCCCCAGGAGCAGCTCACAGGGGGATCAGATGAAAACAGAAAGCGGGGAGCACAAGTGTCCCGCTTTTGTTAAGTCAGGGGGCAGATGAAAAAGGCATCTGTGCGTACCTGGGTTTTCTTTCTGCTCCCAGAAAAGCAGAGCAGCCCCCTCCTACTCTGTCCCTCACTCCAAGTCGGAGCGAGTAGGAGAAATCACGACTACCTGATGCCTGCTTGGCAGTTGTCGTGAAACAGGCCTGGCAGCTGCCACGCCAGATCCCTGTCACTGGGGTATCGCTGCGCTGTCACGACATGGTAGGACTCTGGCACACCCCCCAGCCCTATCTGCCCAAGGCTGGAGAGTCCTCAGACTCCAAACCGTAAGAGGAGCTTCTTCCCTGGGCAGAAACAGGCTCGGAGGAGCACCAGATCTCCTGGTGGGATTTGGGGACCAACATTCAGCCCCAGCAGCGTCAGGAGGTGAGGCAGGGAGGGAGCTCACGTTGGCCCCCATCTCAGTCTGATGTTGTTGGGGTGATGGTTCAGCGTCGCTCCTGCTGAGTGTTGAGGGAAGGCTGTTGTGGAGTAAACACCCCATTAAGCCAAGAAAAAATAAAATGAGCTTGCAGAGCCCAGTGGGGTGGGAGGCAAACAGTTCTATCAATGCTCGAGAGTGAGCAGTTTATATAAGCAACAGGCTCACCAGCTGGGAGGAAAGCAGCAGCTCAAGGGAGCAGAGCTGGGAGCAGGGGGAGAGCACTGCCTTTTCCAAAGGGTTTGTCACCAGCGGGTGGGACGTGCTGGCACGTGGAATTATTTCAGTGGAGGTCATGGAATCATAGAATATCCTGAATTGGAAAGGACACACAAGGATCATTGAAATCCAACTCCTGGCCCTGCACAGGACACTCCAACAATCTCACCATGTGCCTGAGAATGTTCTCCAAATGCTTCTCGAACTCTGACAGGCTTGGTGCCATGACCACTGCCCTGGGGAGCCTGTTCCAGTGGCCTCACATCGTTCCTCAAGGGAAAGCAACTGCTCTGTGTGCTGCCATGGGTGCTGACCCACCAGGAGTGCCAGCAGGATGAGGTTGGGTACAGGACAGCTGATGGACACCGGCTATCTGTTCCCAGATGCAGCAGCAGAGAAGTGCCAGAGCTGGCTGGGCAGTCAACAGCTCTCCAGCTAGAGACAGGATGGATCCATCTGCACAAAGCTGCTGGAGCTGCCAGTCATCTCATCCAGCCCCTTCCAAAAGCCAGCAGCAATGGGGAGTGGTGCTGGGAAGCCAAATGCCTTTGCTAATTGGACCTCTTACCATGTTTGGCTTTTTTTTGTGGTTTCCCTTCCAGGCTGTGGCAGGAGCCTGCTGGGGTTAGAATCACAGAACAGTTTGGGTTGGGAGGGACCTTAAAAATCGTCTTGTTCCAAGGCTTTCCACTATCCCAGGTTGCTCCAAGCCCCATCCAACCCGGTCTTGGACACTTCCATGGCAGTTCTGGGTAACCTGTGCCAGGGCCTCCCCACCCTCACAGCAGAGACTTTCCTCCTAATATCTTATCTAACCCTGCCTTCTTTCAGGTTCAGGCCATTCCCCTTGTCCCATCACTCCATGCCCTTGCCCAAAGTCCCTCTCCAGCTCTCTTGGAGCCCCTTTAGGCACTGCAAGGGGCTCTAAGGTCTCCCTGGAGCTTTCTCTTCTCCAGGCTGAACAACCCCAGCTCTCTCAGTCTGTCTTCATAGGATTATCTGGGACCTGCCAGGTGCTCTAGCCCAGGCTGGGATGTAAGACCTGGAGGGTCTTACATGAGTTAAATTATCATGAAAAGCAAATTCCTTTGCCCATCCCTTTCCCTTTGCCGCTGACAGGGAGTGAAGGTCATTTCCCCAGCAAGTCTCACTTCAGGCCAGTTGCCTCCTAAACTCCAGCCAGGCACTGGCCTCTGTTCCTCTGTGTCACACGAGGCTACTGGTTCTGCCAAAAGGAGCTTCAGAGGATTTTTCCCCTCCTTGTTCCTCCTGCTCTTTCTCCCAGCTGTTCAACTA